TTTTTTTTTTTTTTTGACTAATTCCGTTTTCGGTTTTTCTTAAAAACCTACACAATTTCTCATCTCATTTATCTTATTTTCACTAATTCTCTCTATTAGGTTATGTGTGCCTTTAGCTTTAAAGATATTTCAGCACTCTTCTTCAGCCTTCAGTAGCCGTAATAGTTATTTGCTAAAGTTTCACTACTGCTTAGCCCGTACCATTGATGTTCGTACCAGGTCGAATGGCCGGCATATGTCATATTGCCGTATTGCATTTGTTTCTATAAATTCTCATCGGCTTCGGCTTGTTCGGCTTTGATTTGCGAGAGTTTCTCTTGTAGTATCGAAGTGCCGGTTTCGAGTGCAGGTATTTCGGTTTTAACGGCTATCGTACTGCCTCCGTTCAAATCAGGCAATTTACTATTACTGCTACTATTAAGCAGATGATGGCCACTATTGTTGTGCTGTATTTCACTTTTCAAACTGCTAGTATCGGTTTCAGAAGCTGAATCTCGTGAGCCTAAGCGACTGCGTTGATTTTCTAGCGCTGCTTTTATACTTTTATTATTGTTGTTGTTATTAGTCTCATAGCTTTCATCGTTACCGCTTTGAGAGGTATCATCGTCTTCACTGCCGCTGTGAGGTGAGGTACGTTCTCGCTTAATATTTGTCGCCGTTAACGACAGTGAACTACCTGATCGTTTAATAGGACCTGAGCCAGAGGGCGAGATGTTATTGTACTCATTGCCACGATTATTTGTAAAGGGCATGGGCGTCTTTTTCATTAGTAACTGATCTAGTAAAACTCCACTTGCGCTTCCTGGCGGTGTTGTAATATCGCCACTTTTCCGATCAAGTGTTTTGCGTATTATACCATCCAGGAAAGATGCTCCATTGGCCGCACTGCTTTCATATAGTTCGCGTGCTCTGTTAATGTCTTGCCCTGATAATGGGCTAGCAATAGGACTGGGTGCATTTGAGGAGTTTGTGGTGGTGTTGCCCACACCCGCACCACCAACAGGAACATTTCCGACAGCGTTAGCTGTATCCTGATAACGATGCATATGGGTCTTGAGTATATTACTACTGCTGTCTGTGGGTGAACTGCTGCTAGGTGCTACTGTTGAATTGCGGTTAAAGTCCATTTGTAACTGGCTAAATGCCGCTGCTTGAGGATGTTGCCAAAACAGATGCGGGGCATATGATAGATGGGCAAGTGCGGGATCAAATATAGGCAATTTCATACCGTTACCAGTATTACTAGAAAAAACAGATGTACCAGGCGTACCATTGCTTTTCATAGCTCCACTCAGCTTTACATTGGCATTGCCGCTATTTCCTGCTTTCAATTTATCGAGACTATTTAATCCTGTTGGAATGTTAGTATTAGTTTTCGTGCTACTGCTACTGCTGGTGCCATCTAAGCCAGGCTGCGGCTTAGGTTCTCGTTTTCGAGGTCGCATTAAATGACGCTCTTTCACTTTATATTCAAGCGTAGAATGTGGTACACCGTAATAACTTCCCGCCCTATGAACGGACATCTCACCTCGTTGCACCGCCTTTACCGCTTCTACCAGACTATCGCGATCGTAATTGCGATATTTTCCACGTTTCGGCCGAGTACCTTTGCCCGCTGCTAGTGCAGCGGCTTCTTGCCGGCTAAGATGATGAGCAGCTGTATGATGACCATGCTGCAGATGTGGCGGCGGTTGATGATGGTGATGGGAATTGTGACCTGCTGCTGCTGCAGCGGCCAATAGATTAGGAGCTGATCCGAAACGTGATGTATCCGTGCCACCTATATTTTTCACTACCGATATCGTCGGCTTTTTATAATCGGAGACACTTTGACGTTCGCTATCTGGCCCTAGTCCCAACATAGACACAGCGGCAGCATGAACATCTTTGTTCGCTTGTTCATTCATTGTGCGATGTATGCTATTCGCTATGACATCGCACATTCTAAGCGATTGCGGCGACTGAGATTCCACTCCTGAGTGTAGTAGAGGCGGTGTAACGGAAAGGCTGTTGCTGCTCAATTGATTTTTGGCAGCATTGACAGCAGCAGCCAGTAACAACGGTCCAGGGCTGTCGCCGTTGCGATTAGTATTTGAATTGCTATTGCTGTTATTGCAAAGCAAAGCCGGCGAAACTGAACCACGAGAGCTACTTGCTCCCAAAGTCGATGAGGTACCTGCCACTGGAGTGTAGGACGGAATTTTTAGTATCGCCGATGGATCATCACAGATTTCATTAGGATCCAGAGACGAACTGGTTTCGGGTGTTTCAGACTTTGGTACGCAACGATTAACACCGTATTGCGTTTGTAATGTATTGGCTTGTTGCTGCTGTTGCTGTACTTGTTGCTGTTGCTGTTGTTGCAGTAGCAATTGCAAAAGTGGTCGATAGTCGGGTGTATTTGCAGCGTGGCTACTGCTGCTGCTGCTCAAATTATTGTTTTCACTTGACGCTGCTGAATTATTAGCAGCAGCTGTTGTGGCCCCCAGTAGAATATCCTTTAGATTAATGGTTGAATTTAATAGCAATGCACTGAAGAGATCGCGTAAATTTTTATCGGATAGGAGCAGCGTTTGTAATAGTAGGGCGCTGGTATTTGTATCAATCGCTGGTATCTGTGGCGGTTGCGGTGATGGTTCGGGCAGAATATCACTTGTTTGCGGTTTTGAGGAATCTAGATGTGCTGGTTTCGGTGAAATATGCGTACGACGCGGTTCGTCTGAATTGCCTCCTAAATCGTTATCTACGTTACTGGAACATTGAAGCTTCCTTAACATAACTGGTGTGGCAATACGGGTGGCAAGCTCTTCAGTTTGTGGCGTAGATGAGTTACTAATCTCGTCTTCATCGCCCGACAAATCTTTTTCTAGTTCCTGCTGTAATTGTAATAATTCCGGGGGTGTTTGCTCATTATTACGTCTTGCCTCCATTGTTAGCTTATAGATTTTGTTGCGTAACGTTGAACGCGGTACATTATATTGCACGGCCGCTTTACGTGTCCCCAGTCTACCACTAAGAATTTCATGCAACGCATTATTCAAATCGTCCTCGCTATAGATGCGACGTGTTGAAGGAACGGGTGTAGAGCGCGCCGATCTAATTCTGTAACATAAACGAGAATTGACAGTTTACAGATTAATTTACAATTTTACAAATGTGTAGATCAACTTTTTTAAATTATTAACTATAGCATATAACAATAAAATATTAAAGTAATTTCAACTTTTCGGTATCTCTACCTAAATATGAATTCTAAGGACATCAAATACATTCTTGACATTGGCAATGATTGGTTTTGACAGATATTTTCTTTGTAATTGTCAGTTTCATCTTTTGTACTTTAGGGTGAAACGTTGTTAAATAGCTGTCGCTACAACAAAAACGATGACAAAAAATGCTTTCTCCTACATAGTAATGCATTTTTTCTCATTTCCCCAAAGACATCAAATGAAGAATACATGAAAGAATATAAAAAAAAAAAAAAAAAAAAAAAAAACAAATGCAGAAAGTTTGTATTTTGGTAAAAGGAAATGAAAAGACCAAATAAGTCCCCGATGTGGTAGTTGCAAATCATTCTATATAGAGAAAAAAAAAATAAAAATAAACTGAACTGAAAATTCTGCTACTGAATTATGCTGGACTGATGTCTTATATACTCCATCTCTTCTTATGCTGAATCAACTTCCGGCCTAACAAAAGAAAACAACAACAATTTTTTGTTTTTTCTTTTCTTCATTTTTTTCGTCTTTTTTTTTTTTTTTGGCATATTAAATGTGTATGATGTGTAAATGTGAATGATTTCTAATGAGGGATGACGGATGAGTGGTGGAGGAGACAAAGAACTGACAAGCGTTGTTTCAAACTAAGAAGACATCTAACATGTTTTTGAAGTTCATTAGATGAATTTTGAAAATCATCTTCACTTAATATTTAAACAGAAGGAGTCAGCAGACAGCTTCACAGAAAATGAGAAATAACGAGAAGAAAAAAAGCGAAGCGAAAGAAAAGTGGAATCCGAACAAAAGCTTAGTGAAAGAGGAGACAAAAAGTAAAAATTCACGGACGCAAAATATCTTCTGTTAGCTCTATGTAAACGAAGAGAACGTAAAAGTAAAAAATGTATATAAAGATTTACAAAAGAAAAAAAAAAAAAAAAAAAACAAAATTGTTGACAGTACATCCGCGCCATGCTTTACAGGTCAATATTATTACATTATCTCATCTCTATATGGCTTTCCATGTATGTACACATGTATTGGTGTTTGGATGGAACTGGGCGCCCATTATATCTTTTTGCTTTTTTTTGAGATTTTAGTAATAATTTTTATCGTATTTTCTTTTTTTTTGTGCACCTTTCGATTCAAGTTCACCAGTGTCAATTTAGAGCCCGCGATATTTCAACAAAAACTGATTGTCTCCACTTTTTTTCTTTTGAAGAAACGCGATCAAGTTTGTTATATCCAAGATTAGCTCATATTTTTAGACGAAAATGTGACCTAATTTGGCTTTGGTTTGCCTTACATATAATTCGGACTTTTAACATAATTTAGGTTGAGAATTTTTTTACCGTATTCTAGGGTATATTATGTTTGTCTGGATGTATGCAACATCCAGAAGTGCTTTAGATAGAAAATCCTTTCATAATACAGTTCAACTCAGAAACATTTCTTGAATCGATCTAAGCTTTTCCGTCCGTCCGTCTGTCTTTCTTTCTCGTAAGCAGTTTTTGAATTATTTTCATGAAATTTTATACACTAATATGTTTTGGTTCAACGACGAACGCTTTTGAAAATGATTCGGATCGGATAACTTTTTCGATCACTTCCCATATAACATTTGATTTTGAAAACTCGTTATTTGAATATGAATGCATTAAGGGAAGTGTTGCCAACTATTTATAAATGTTTTCGAACAATTAAATAGTTAAAGATCTTTTGCATTTGTGGATACTTTGAACAACTGAAAGTAAATAATAACATCACGAATTCCGATTAATAATGAATTAAAAAAATCAATTGAACAATCAAGACAAAATATCAGCAATTGAAAGAGTTATGCTGCAAACAGCTGGAGTAATATGCCTTTAAAAGAACTAAGCTCGCTGTTTGTCTAATGTTAACGCGTTCATAAACTCCAAAATTTGCTGATAGATAGATGTGCTTGAATAAACAAGCTGCAGCAACTCTCAGCGAGCATTTTTAGCGGTTTGCCGAAAAAGATTTCGAATGGCTGCAGCGATGTGCTCTTAGCTTAAGTAAAAACGGATATTGATCAAAATAAAAAAAACAATTTTTTTTATTATAAGCTGTTTTCGCGAAAATTTCAATTAACCTAAAATTGATAAAAGATTTATATGAGATATCTTAGTTTTCGGGAAAATTTTCCATTCGTATTCTATATGAAAATGACGTAAATCACGAAATCGGTGTTTAATGATATCTAAGCTGTGTTGTATAAATCGAAGGAAAGGGACTGTGAATATTTCTTATGCTTTGTCTGGAAAATGTCTGAAAATGTGAAATTCATGCAACTGCAAGAAAGCGTATCAAAAAAAAAAAAAAGAAAAAGTAAACGACTTACAAAAATAGCACACATTACAGCAAGGTGGATGGAAACGAGGAGAAAATATTCAAAAGATGTTGTTGTATAAAGCAAGAATGAGCCAAAAAAAAAAAAAAGGAAAAAAGAGAAAAAAATTATGACAGACGGTATGAAGGACGGTTGGGAATGCATTCGTTCATTCATCCATTCGATGATGGACAGCGTAGACAGGTGAGGAAGCTAGCTACCGTTTGCTGTTGTCGCTGTTGTAACGAATTCTTACAGCATTGCAAGTCCTTAACATTATGTCACAGACGTTGCCTACATTCAAGTGGCAGTTGTTTACGTGGTATGGTGTGGCGTTCTTGTAAGCGTGATTGTGAGTGTGCATAAATGCATTCAACAAAGTTGTGAAAAAAAGTTGATAATTCTCTTCTGCATTAAAACAAAACACACTCTTTGTAATTTGCTCTTGTTTTGTTCCTTTTTTTTTTATTTATTTATTTATTCATTTTTTTTTTTCACATTTTCGTCATTAAAAATGATTTTCGGTTGTAATTTGGCTACGGTTTCCTTTGTATATACATATATATATATATATACCCGCCCACCTTATTCAATGGCCCATTCCCGTGAGATTTTTACTTTTGCGTGTTTGCCAGTGAAAAATGGTATTTTACTTACAAAAAAAAAAAAAAAATATTATAAAATACAAAGTTAAATAAAAAAATTTACCAAAAATAAAAAAAAAAAAAAAAAAAATTGAAAAAAAATTCAATGTCGTTTGCGTGTGTCGTCTACTTTTCTTTTTTTCATTTTTATTATTGTATGTACATAATATATAGATTTATGTGCACGTTGCTGAACCACACCGTGTAGAACATTGAAACGTTATATGCAGTTTGTAATTTGCTGCAGTTCTCGTTAAATTTCTTTTATTTTATTTTTTTTTTTTTGTTGTAGTTGCAATTGCAATTGTTGGTGTTGTTGGTGTTGTTGTTGACGTTGTTATCGTTGTTGTTTTCGTTGTTCCGAATGCAGTTGGAACTGTGCTGTTATCGTTACACACAGAGAGAAGCACGCATATATGAGTTCTATTTATTTGCTGCATTTGTATGCGCGCTTTTTTTCGGTAAATATTTTTTTTTTTATATTTGTCTGCGTGTACTTAAAATACGTGCATGCATGCATACATACATATATATGCATACATAACATACGTATATTTATTTTATTCATTCGTAAGGATTTTTGTAATTTTACTGAAATTTCATTGCACTAATATGAGAAAAGGGTTGATTTTTTATTTCTCTGTTTTTTTTATATTCGGCATACATGTGCGTTCGTTTATTTATTTTTCCTTTTTTTTTTTTTCTTTTTTTTGTTTCATTTTTTTGTAGTTGTCGTTGTTGTTGTTAATTTTAGCGCTTATTGGAATTGCTGTACGCTTTTTTCCTTTTTTGGTTTTTGCTTTTCGTTTTTCTCTTTTTTTTTTTTTTTTTTTTGGGTTGCAACCCATGCTTTAATTTCAGCGTGTGTGCCAGTTAAATTTGTTGTTGGTTTTTCGTGTTAGAAGAGAACATTGCATTTTTATACCGTAACGATCAAGTATAATATTTTGTCTTGAAATCTTAGCCAATGTTCGTATTGCAAGCGTGAGACAATTATTTGATATTCAAGAATACGCAGTCAAAACTTTTCTAAATACCGGACATAAAATTCATACCGTTCTGGCGCCATAAGTACTAGTTTTGTGGATGTAGAGAAATTTCCGGAAAATTTGATAACGAGTTCAGGTCTCCTTAATCCTAAATCGCTATATCTCTCTTTCTCGGTCTCTCTAAAACATTACATAATCGAAAATTTAAGAATTCTTAATCTAGAAAAGACTTCAGAACTGAGAGGAGCTTTATTGCTTGAAAACGTTTTTTTTTTTCATAGGACAACTAAAGTGTGCCAGGGAAAAATGCCTTTGTCTCACAAAATTTTAAAGCAATAAAAACGAAAGTGTTATTCGCGCAATAGGGCCGTCGTCCGAAAGCTACAAGTATAACGTCGAAATTTCAATCCTTGCTTGCATTATTTTTTTTAGTTTGTGTGGTGAGGACAGGCTCGCACAATATGGCAGAGACACAGCTCGACCGAATACTTTGACGAAAAACGACTAAACAGACAAAGATTCTCGTGTTTAGCAAGAATGTGTGGATTGTTTCATTTTTTCTCTTTTTTTTTTTATAAAGTTTCTCGAGTGCATGTATAGGTAAGCCTTCTCTAGGGGTTTTTAGCACGGTTGTGTTAATTGGAAGATGGCTATTAAAAGGTAAACGAACAAATATTTTCACAGTATTGATAATATTGAGAATTTCAGGAGTCCTTTACGGTACATGCACAAAAAATGCATCCACATAAAAAGGTTTTTTTTTTTTTTTTTTTTTGTTTAATTCAACTTTAGACTGAGGGTGGAGGCTCCTTTGTCGATTAAATACATAAAATTTGTTGGTTTGTGTTGCAGTCGAAAAAAAGAACTCAACTGCAATAATTCTCAATTTTTTTTCTTTTTC